CCCCCCCCCCCCCAAAGCAGCCAGTTCCCACTGGAGGCCTGGGAGCCAACCCTCATCTTTTGACATGGTTTCTTCTCACCCAGGTCTTGGAGGGAAGGGTTAGAGTGTTGGAGTTTTTTTACTACTATTGTTTTTAAAAAATAACAGCATTATGTATTTGCAGTAAGAATATACAGAAAAGACTGTTCATATTCTATGCAGCAGCAAACCTAAATCAGCATTTTGCACACATGCTTGCATAAAACAACCATGATGTATTATTTACATTGAGATTATCTGGTTGTGCACATCATTAAGTTTAAATAGATGCCAGAAATTTTATCTAGATGTGCACCTGCCCGGCGCAACGAGCAATCCCAAACTGGTATTTGCTGGGGAGATAGATAGGTTTACACTCATTTCTTCTCTCCTTTTAAGTCCAGACAAGCAGATGTAGAACTTCAGGTCAATGTGGAATGTGTTTTTCACAGAATGCCTGTGTGGAGATAAGGAATGTCTGAAATAAATAGCAATTAGACAACAGCATCATCTCCTGGGTGAGCTGGTCGGAATTAGATATCTGTCCCCAGCCCAGCAGCAGCCTCACTATGTAGAAAAACACAGAGACACTCGTACAGCCTAAGGTGCTGCAGAGCAACAGACGGTCTCCCTTGAACTGCAGTAACGTTTTCAGCTGTTTTAAGGAAGTGCTGTAGTTTTTATCTGTAGAAAAAGTGGAGGAATAATTGCTACAAGATCATTGAACTATCACAACTATCTTTTTTTCAACAATAAAAGTGAAAGGCTTTACAGTGTTGGTCACACGGGAAGGGACAGAGAGAACCACAAAAAGTAAATGTGTCTTTTTTTGGACATAAGGTGCAAAACCAGTATTCACCGGCTACACAATATTATCCAAGGACATAAAACTAATAGTAGAGATATGAGAGCTCTCTGAGATAACCTTGCATTGAAGCCCTGTAGTTGTCAGCATGAGTTTACTTCAAGCTAAGAAGCCTGTGTGAAACTTAACCTGGTGGTTGTAGCATAGAGCAGTCACTCTGCCTTCCGCAGTCACTCAGAAATTACGCTGAACGGAAAATGGAGCTGCTAAATGGGATGCTGGCTCTGCTCTCCTGCAACTGTTTTACATCCCCTGATTCCTCTGCCTTTGGTGTGGAAGCTGGTCTGGAAGAAGTAAAGAGCAGAAAGAATCTCTGGCATAAGCAGCTAATAAGGAGGAGGGATCATTAGCTTGTTTCAAATCGGGTTTGGTTTTGTTTTTTTTTTGTTCCTAGGTTATTTGTAAAAGTTAACCTTTGACGAGAAACAAAGTGCATGTGTCGGAGCTCACCCCTGCCCTAACTGAGTTACACCGCTTGTGAAACATTTAGATCTATATTTACATATTCCTTGATTACAACAGTTGGAACACTTTCCCTTTCCAAAGGAGAGATGTTCTCACCCTACACAGGGAACTGACAGAACCTGCAGATACTCTTCATCCTTAGAGACTTCTTTGTCTCACGACACTTAATGAAACGTAGGAGCAGCCAGGTTCTCATGCACACGTGACACGTGATGATAGACGAGGTCTGTTGCTACCTGGGCTTTTCCTTAGAGCACTGGAACAAGGACAAGTAGCCAAAGGAGGAAGAATTAAAAAGCACCACAAAAACGTGTCTTGAGGCAGGAGTTAGTGTAGCGGTTTAGGCTTTCTGCTCTGGGTACGTCACTGCTGTACCCTCGTCCCCTGCCATCCACAGCACAGCGGGGCTGCAGTGCGCGGCCTCCTTGGTGAACTCCAGCCTCAGTCGTGGCCTCTCGGAAGGGATACGCTGAAACACGTGCCTTTTCTTGCTTTTGGTACACGTGTTACAGCTGAATTGCCGTTCCTGATACAACATCCAGTTAGAAGCCGACAGAACTTCTACAGATTCAATATGTCATTTTGATCAACAAACCAGTAACAAGAAATACCACAGGCAGAATAACAACTGGGTTTTGTTTTTCCCATCAAGCTATTACAGTCCTGACTGCAGGCTACGTACTCGATCCCTCTGCAAATGTTTTAAAATTAAGTACCTCAGTCCTTGTATTCTACTGCCTGTATGGGGAGAAGGCACGGAGCGGAGCGGGAGGCGACTTACCTCAGTCGAGGAGCGACTTCAGGAACGCGGAGCTGGTGCCAGTCTGGATGTCCTCTGTGGAGGAGGAAAATACGTTTTGATAAATAGAACAATGGTGTTCGCACAGAATTTGTGAAAATAGGAGTTAAATAAGTCACTGCAGTGGTTAACGGAATGCCTTTTTTACCTCATGCTGTGTCTCAACAGTAATTTAGGAGATTGTCTTAACTACTTGTGAGTACGTACACTACATCATTACCAATGATGGCAAAGCGGAACAGAATTTGTCACAAGTATTAGAAGCCAGGCATTTTTTGTTATTAATAATAAAAGAATAAATAAAAATCCGTAAGTACCATGTCAGCAGATTCAGCAGAATCAATCATGGAGAGTGTGAGAGCAACAACCTCCTCTGAGTCCTCCGAGGGGATGGCAAAGAGAGAGGCAAAACCACACCGGAGCCCGTACTCGAGGAGGGCAGGACCCGGGCGAAGGGCTGAGCAGGTGGCTGGAAGAAGCTGAGGGAAGGAGCGCAGGAGGAGAAAGGAACGTGGGGATGGGTCTGGCAGCAGGTGCTGCTCAGTGCTGAGGTTGCCGAACGGTTTTGTGCAGCAGACAAGCAGCTCTGGTCTCGGTACTGTGAGTATCTGCTGCTGGTTCGTGCTGCATTTTGATTCTGCCGCCACGAAAGGGTGAGGAGAGAATTCAGGATTCGCTTTATATTAAACAGACTCAGAAGCACAAACAGCTACGTACAGCAGCTTATAGCTAGAAATACTCCTGGGAGAAAAGGGGCCGTGTATAAACCTAGAAGGAGAAAGGCATCAAAGCCACCAAAGCCGGGGCGTGGGGGTGGGGATGGTGGGGAAGATTCTCCTCAGCTACAACTTTTCAGCATTATATCTAATAAACTCCACTTGTTTATACAAATTACCATCAAAAAACCCCGCTAACTGTTGCTTAAAATAGGAAACTGTCCAGTCTTGTATGATAAGTAACGGAAAACTCTGAGATTTCATTACAAGCTGGTTTCTTTGTACTAAATGCAACTCCCTAATTCAGTCTGTATGAACCCTTTGATCCCCCGTCGCGGCGTTCTGACCGCGCCGTACTTAAAGATCCCGTACGTGCCAAGGCAACCCTGCCGAGGGCCACATTTCCCTCTGAGAAGCTGTCTTAAAAATGTAACCTTGCCCAGATTCACAGAAACCATCGTTAACTCAGCTTTCTTTCCCGTGTGTACGACGACAGCACGTTTTGACAAAGCAGTAGTATTTACAGTGGTATTTATACGGATGGCATAAAGATTTAGATATTCAAATAATCAGATAATACCCCCAAAACTTACAATGCTTGTTGCAGCATTTAGGCTTTTTTTAAGCTATTTTTTTTCTCTTGGTTAAACTATATAAAAGCAAAGAGAACACTAAAAACTTCCGGATGCAGATCTGTCGTGACCGGAGCAGTGAGGAAAGGAAGGGATCTGTGGGGGAGACCAGGCAGATGTCTGGGCTGGGCTGGCAGAAGCTTTGCTGCCCTTTGCCGCAGCATCTCTGTCCCCGGCCCATAAAAACATTACAAGGGCAGAATCTTCCCAAGTTTCGTTTCCCCTCCTACTTCCACCGCTGTCCTTCCCCGAGTTTGACTGCTCTAAAACATTTACAGATCTAAAAAGCAGAGAGAAAAAAAAAAATGTTCACCTGTCAGGTGGTATAAAACCAATCTTCTACTAAATGTGCCAGAATAATTTTTCTCCACCTCAGCCACAGTTAAAACCTTCAGTCTATTCATTACTGTCTTTTTATAGTATTTTTATTTAATAAAACCTATTAAGACTACCATACAAATCTCTTTACTTATGCTTTTATCTTTTAACTGATCAATTTTTATATTGCTGACATCCCTTCTTCACCATTTGCTCATTTAAAAATTCATAGTATATGAGCTATGTCTCTGGAGAAAACGTCTATAAAATTTGTTACAGCTGGCAAATGTGTATGAGTCAGTGATAGCACATGACTAAATGCTTCACAGAAAATAAAATTTGTTTCTGTAGTAAGCAGAACTGTTTAAATGTTATTTATTTTTATGTTTCAAAGAAAATATATTGTGAAGTGCTGCATTGATTTAATACGCAACAATGTCTGTGTACACGCTGTACAAGGAAAATTTATGAAACCTTTGCACAACTCCTTTAATTGAATTTTCCAAATCTCTCACCACACACAAATAATCAATATCTTCTGCAGAGAAAACCAGTCAGAATTATTACAGTCTTTCTTTTCAATTTTGTTGTCATCAGCACATACAGAGCACCTGGATATTTGTAATGTCTGGATAGCAAGTTATTTACACCTCTTAAACATATAATTGCTACTAAGTGAGTCCAAACTAATGTTTCTTTTCTTTTTTATCTAAAATAATTATATTCATGGGAGAAAGCACTATTTATTCTCACGTAGTAATTGCTACATGTAGCTGTTGAAAGAACTACAATTCTTTTTAATTTTTCATTAAGCTTAATACTCCGAAGTCTAGATCCACTAGAATTCAAAATTAACAGCTCTCGCATCTGTAAAAAAGGTACAGAGGAAAACAGAGTATAAACACAAGTGGGAAACTCCTGAATAAATGTGGCTGACACCTAAATATAAGGTGCAGGTTGACAGTTCTATATGTATATACGTCTGAGGCCTCCACTCATATGTCTCATGTGCATTTCTGGATCTGCCACGGAAGTTAATAGCTTAATATTTCATCTGCATAGCAGAGGGTGGTAAATCACTGGAGAGGTTTGCAATTTGCCCCCTTCCTTCTATCCAAAAAGCTTAGCGTGCCCATGACCTCAGACTCAGAGAACTTCTCAAGTCTCAGGTTGTCTTTTAAAATCATGCGCGCCCTCAAGGTGCGGGTACAAGCCCGTCAGAGCCACAACCTGCGGGGAAAGAGCAGGGGTCACACAGAAACCTGCCCGCCAGCTCCTTTGCTTTTCAGCAGACAAGATTACTCGCTTGTCCCGGGAAAATCACCAGCTTTGCAGATTTTAGATACCAGGCTACCTCTTCCACACTGTAAAGGACTTTGTGTGGTTACAAAGTGAAAAAAAGACCCGCTCACACAGGACGGGAGAAGACGTGAAGTCGAATTCAGCCTTTAATCCACACAGCACAAATCAAGACACTCTTCCTCCAGGTGCGCTTTGGGGCCATCTCACGATCAGTTTTGGCTGTAAAAGCAGCAGGGCAGAACGACTTCTCTGGGTCTCTGCATGGGGACGTTCAAAATAATTCCTGAGCAAACAAAACAGGCCAGTCGCACCAAGCACACACACACGCGCGCTCGCATGGTCGGCACTCAAGTCGCCTCAATTCAGTTTTGCTTAATGCAAGTCCCAACTTACAAGTGTTCATACTGAGGTACGACTGAAAAACGTAACGGAGATGAACTTTTCTCTCCGTCTAACGGTAGAAAAGCCTCATGAGCAGAAATACTGACAGATCTTCCACATGGAGGAGCAGAGGAACAAGGGTTGACTAAACTCGAATGCAGCGGAGGCGCAGGGTTTGGACTGTCATTTCGGACTTTCAGAAAAGATTAATTCTTAATTTCTGTCTTGGTTTCACAGCCTGACTAGGCCAAGAGGGCAACTTGTATCTCGGCTGGACGCGGGACTTAAAGAGTCCTGAAGACCACTGTTGATTTTGCCAATGCTATATCTCCTCCAAATAACTTTCTACCAAACACTTTTCCAAACCACGACAGGACATTATGGCAGAGCAGATATTTCTGATGTGTGGTAACATCAAACCTGGCCTTTAATGTTAAGACTGGAAGTAAGCATATCATTTTCAAACACAAGCTCTAAATCTCTGTCTAATAATAATAAATAATCAACTTGAAAAATGTCCTTCAGCATAATCTTTGTTGCTTTTAGAGATGATGTACACCACAAAAAGGCGGCTGGAGAGACCCTGTCAAACTTTGGCTGGAAAGAAGCCCAGGACTGAACAGGAAGGACCTTGGGAGCACTGAGGAACGGCTGTTTGCGCCGGCATTGGAAAAATCAGCCCAACAGATGCGGAACGTCAGAAAAGCCTCCACCACAAATGCCTAGACACGAGCATATGGTTCATCCTCCTAGTCAGCTCCTGTACCGCTTCTTACCCACGTACAGATTTTGTTAGATACAAAGGCTTTTCCCAATAGCTAGGGCTGACCCCTGCCTGCACCTCATCACCTCCCTGGGAAGTGACTGTTCGCCGTAAGCAAAGACACTCTTGGTGTTTGTTCCATTTTCTCTCAAGGAATGGAAACTCTGGAAAGAAACTCAGTTTCTGAAGGAATTTACTTGTGAATTCATTTGGTTCACTTCATATATTTCTGCTTAGCCAGTTCATGAGACTTACTTATCCCAGAAAAGGTATGATTTTTTTTTTTCCTGAAGTTGGGCTGCGACTTAACAGGGGCGATCATATTTGCCCACGGGCTCAGCAGGATGAACACCACCACAGCAAAGGAAGAGTTTTTGATTTCGTTACAAGATACAATCTGAAAATAGTTTTCTTCAACGCTGCAAGTATTTGATCTTCTATAACACTCTCTTGTTTCTTACTTGGACAGAGTCACGGACATAATTTATGTCAGTGTTTTTCTTTTTTGAGAAGCAAAGTATTAGTATAATTTGTAACAAGCAGCTTAAGTAGCTTGCCTGTGTAGAATGTTATCTTCACTCCTCGAAACTCTGAACCTATTAAACTTTTTCTTTAAAATATGTGTATCGCGAGCTATGCATTTATTCTTGGCAGACATGAAGCGCGTTTTGCGCTGCAACACACCGACCAAATTTAATCTCTTGGCAGTTGCTTTACAGTTTGCTTACTTTCTATTCAAAAACATTTTGTTTACTGTAAATACTAGTCATGGACAAACAATGGTGCCATTTTTTTCAGCTGGTCACACAAAATGATATACCGAGTTCTACACAATGCTGCCCATTGAGCAAGGAATGTTTCGTATTAAGTTGTTTTAAGTAGAGGTTGTTCATGTAAAGTAAATAAATTTCATGCCTCCCCATGTGATGATAATGTGACATTCCAGCTGTATCGAGCCACAGAACAGTCATAAGTTTGAAGTCTTGAGCATAACTAATTAAAAATAATTATAAAAAACCACATCCAAAACTAAAAGGCAGAGTAAAACATCTCCAAATGCTTTTCTTTCATCACATACTTCTTCGCCTCTCCCGCTACTGCATTTTCTGCAAAACTGAATTTATTCTTTATCAAAGCAAAAATCAGTGTTGAAACTTCATCAGAATCGGTCAGCCTAAACCCGTCATTTTATTTCCCATCCTACTTTCACAAAATATCTCATTTCTCATCTAACATGACTGGGTACATGTTTAGCGTTAGGGGCTAGTTTCTGGAGCAAAGATGGAACTGTGAGTGTCTGTCCTGGCGAGCGTTACAAGAGCAGCGCACAAAGGAAGCGCTGACTGTTGAAATCCACAGTGCTTGCCGTCCTCAGCACCGGCAAGGGGCTGTGATCATTTGAACGGAAGGACACAGGGAGCTGTAAATCAGAACCAGCGGATCGCAAAAATGAGCCAAACCCCTTAAAAAAAAAAGAATTAAGAGAATTGCCCACAGCAGAAAGAATCCTGGCCTGCGGAGGAACAGATCCACCCAAAAGCAAAGGGGCTGCTTGCGACACGAAGCAGTTCCACTGGCTGGGACAGCTGGCAGGCAGAGCAGCAGAGATGCCACCACCGACTGCGATTCCAGTTTTGCTTTATTTTAAGGTAGAATGCTTGAAAATAACAGAAATATGTGAATATCAGAACATTTGTTGACTGAGTGTGAGAGAAAAAAATAAATCCTGTGTGTATCCCCTTCCCAGCTAGACAAGGCGCTGCAGTGGCTTTGTGGGCCACGAGGTATTAAATGCCACCAACTCCAAATATTTTCCCAGCACTGCTTATGAAGAAACCTAATAAGTAGGACTGCAGAGGACCCTGGAGCGTGCTAAATACCTCACAACGCCTGCAAGGCGAAAAGGGTTTTGCTGCAAAGGCTGCGCGCTTACTTGGCTTCTACACCGAAAATGCAAGGGGAGGGAGGAACAAGGAGGACAACAGGTACGTATAAAAGGTACGTAAACTCTCCAACTGCGCTTATTTCTAGGCTATGCCTCGAGTGCAAGACTATATATGAGTTCTTCTCCTCCTACAGTTACACAGAGAAGCGCCCCATACAGCAGAAAAAATGAAGTTTACATTGAGTGGTGCAAAAATTTTCAGAAGAGACCCATTTCATTACTGTAATTTTCATGTTACCCGACTTATTTCAAGCGGGAAGAACTGAGAAGGAATCAAGTGAAAGGAATCATTGAAACATCTGTTATGCAGGAGTTGTAGAAAAGTTTCTTACCTTGGGCAGGAAGTTTTCTGTGGTTTCTTTGCAGCAGTTCTGCTTGACTCACTAGTGAAAAAGAAATCTGAAATCAATAAATGTCACCTCAGAGGTTTCAAAGAAAAGCATTACCTCTTCTGTCTTTTTCACTTTCAAAACATTCGGATTTTTCTTCAAGCAATGACAAAACTCCATCTACCCATGTAATTAGTTGTGCTCAAAGAAATAAACAAAAAATTTAAAAATTAACATAATTTTGAGAATATGTGCTTACAAGCCTCATACTGCATTTCCTTCCCATTTTTGTCTCATAGTGCTGACATAGTGCTTTTCTTTCATTCCAAAATGGAGGGAAAAGATGATTGTTTCCCATTTTGAAGGCAACAAGAAGGTAACATAAAGGGTGGATGTAGCAGAAAGCGTCAACAAAAGGTCTGACATCTTGTACCACCCTATCTACAGTGTAGGGCAGCAATGTAAATGCCGACTAATTTCAGAAAACTTCATTTTGTGTAAGAAAACACCCGGTTATGCACATTGCAGTGGAAGCTAGGACGGCGTATACACATGCAAAGTGAAAACTCAGTGAGCTTCGGAACACAAGTCAGGAAAGAAATGGCAGTTTCAACACCAGTAGCTGCCGGGATTGCGTGGTGCATAAATTGCCCTGCCCGGGCGCAGGTACCTAATGTGTTACAAGAGTCGTGGTGCTCTTTTGTAAGAAAAATTCTCTGGCACCTGTGGCTTTACTGTCCTCCCATTTCGAGGAGCCCCACCCACCCTACGTTTTGTTTTCCTATAGCTAGTTCCAGTGCTCTTGCACGCTGCAGAAAAGAGAGCAACCAGACGGGTTGTAGACTAACGTCTACCAGCAAAACATCACATTTGCTGCAGGTGAAGAAACTGCTCTGTCGTCTTTGCATGCTTGTCCCACACGGGGCTGTGGGTACGCGTGTATTATTCGTATTCCCTGCTCCGCTGGAACTACATCATGGGATGAAAAGTCTACAAGAAGAGCATGAGAGGCGCAGATCTGTGAGGGCAGGGAGGTACCTGCGGTCTCAGGCAGGCTCCTATAGGATGTTCACATCTGTGGGTACAGACAAAAGGTGCTGCTATTGTGAAAACAAATGAACGAGTTGTTCAGAACAGCATAAAGCCCGGGGCCCTCGGGTGCCTCCAGCTACTTTTCACCACTTTTAACTCTTAAAGGAATGACTTGGTAAGGGAGATCTTTATGGGTTTTTTCCCTGAAAGGAAATAGTCTTTTATTTTTTAACTTCCCTGCTAGTAGCCATAATGTGAGGGTTTTTTGCATCAGAATATTTCCCTGTCTCGTACTCCCTTTCTAGATGAAGTCTGAATGCACTCTTCCGTGCTGAAAATACACGTCCCAAGAACCTCTGGCTTGGAGCGCTGATAAAGAGTTTCCTAAAAATGGAACCTTTGGCTCTTTGGGTTCCTTTGGCAAAATATCACAGCTGTGCCATCTGTAAAGTGCCCTTGCCCCAACACAATAAGCATCTGGTATGCTCATCATTTAAAAGACACCATGAATAGCAATTTTTAAAGCCTGGAAACCTATATTCAGCCTAATCCTCCTAACAGGCAAACAAACAAACCAACTTCCTTGCAAAAAAAATCCCCAAAACAACAAAAAGAGGAAAAAAAAAAAAGAGAAGAAAGGCAATGCAATCAAAGTGCAAACGTTTAGCCTAATCACTAGCTAACTACCCACTAAGTATCTAACTATTTACATAAGAAAAGGTGTTGCTCTTGCAAGTTTTTCCTCCCCATCTGCGACGGTGGGTTAGAAGAGCGGGCGTTGGGGACGCTTTCTTTTATGTCCCTGGAGGTTTAAGGTGCATTTCTCCTGACCAAAACAACCCCCGGATCAAAGTGCGGCAGCGTAACAGTGCGTTATAACGCAGTGGGGTGTGACTCCAGCAAAAGGTGGGAGTGATCGTTGTTGAATTGCTATTACAGGGATAAATATTATTGAAAATCCTTCTTACTTAGCACTCGGGTTTTCTGCATCTCAGCACTCAAGGGGCAAGACGCGTCTGAGACACCGATGATATCTTCCAGCTCTCTACTGCCCTCTAAAGCCTGGAAAAAGAAAACAGGATTAAAGACACTGAAATCGCATTCCCAAACCGTCTACTTGGACGCCTGCAATCTATGGAAAACGTCTGAAAGAAAGAACTTTTGGAATTTCCCCATAAGCGATGGGTGAGACGTCACCTCCCAGAAAGTCAGGGGGTGTAAAATCCAGGAAGGTGTCAGAACATATCGCTACTGTTGAAAACGGCATCCAGGTGCTTTCTACAGTGTTATTTTAAAAAAAAAATTCTCCTGTTATTTACGCTTCATTCGTAAGTCTTCAGCTGTTTAAACAGATTAGCTCTTGATCCCCAGAAAAGCAATCTTGGCACATGTACAAGCTCGCTAAGAATACGTCAGTAAAATTTAAGATTCTGTTGAACACGCTCCTCGGCATTTCATGGGAGACCTGAAACCGTACGCCATCAATCTCAGGAGAAATAGAAAGGATTCTTCAATAGAGTTTTCTAAATAAACATTTCAATTAGAATATTTTAAATTACTGTCGGGCTCTTTTGTAAATAAAACACCGGCAGACCACATATGCAAGGAAAATAAATCAATACAAAACTTGGAGTACACTGAATTATTTCTCAGATATTGACATATGGCAACGAACCTTGTGCTAAATTTATTCAGAAAACACAATGTGAATAAACCAGAAAGGTGATTTGCATTTTAGCATGTATTAAACAGACTACTAATTGATGATATATTAGTGGTACATTAAACAGTACAATCACTTCAGTACAAAAGGATATTTAATCTTCACGGACATAAAAATCCATGCAGGAATAATTTGTACTTCAAGTTATAAATAACAGTTGATAACTACTTCATATTCTTTTATTCATGTAGAAAATGAGGAGTGATACAAATTAAAAATGGCATAGTTTGAAAAGCAACACCTCTAGTTTAAAAAAGAACCCAAAATCTCCTAAATTCTGGTCTGAGGTATTTTATTTGTTTCCCTATTCCCGAAAACTCCACTGTCACATCAAGATTTTCATTTTTTAAAATCCCATATTGAAAGTAAATTAAATAAAAATAAAAATCAATGTAAACCAGACCTGTAGGCTTGTCAGATTTGCTCTTATTTTCAGAATTCTCACCAAAGAACTTTTCACTTTGGACTGCAATTCCATGAACCTGCATAAAAAATTAAAATAAGAACAATTTTAATAGAACAAATTCAATTCAATGCTGAAAATCAACATTTACAACGTTTACTAGAGTTTCCTCATGTTGTAGTCAGGATGGATCTAGATAAGCTGTGAACAAACGGGCTCTGCGACCTGGTTCAGTCAAATAACACCCAATATAACTTGCCTTTGGTTAGGATTTATATGCCCACTGCCAAAAATATAGAGATCCTAATTTTAAGGATAGTAAA